AAAATTCTTCATATACTTTGATTTTCGGTGGTGTATTATCAACAAGAAATCTGATAATTAAAGATTCATATTTTTAAATATGTTCTATGCTATTTTGCTCTATGAACATGATGAGGTGCTGTAAATAATATACTTTCAATAGTATACTCAAACATCTATAATATTGTTTTTCACACATAAATTTATTTATTTATATATTGTTTACGTTAATACAACATTTTTATCAAGTTTTGCCCAATCTGATATTTGAATATAACTACCAACTTTAAAAGGATCATATTTATCAGATTGTAAATCAAACTTAAGATCCTTAAACCAATATTTAGCATTATATGCATTATAATTATGAAATTATATTATCTCTATAATCATGGTTTACAGATACTAAAAGTTGACCATGAATATTATGTTGATTAGATTGCAAATAGTGTTTAAAAGATAGTTTTATTTCTTCAAATAACATGGAATTCTTCTTATTGTGCAGATCCTACAAATGATGCATAAGCATGAGAATATGTTTTCAATAATTTTTAATTCAACATCTGATGCTACTCTCTATAAATACTTTTTAAATAACGATGGTTGTAGTTTAAACTAAATCTCCAATCGACAATTCCACTATTTTATGCTCTTCTAACTTTATTAACATTTATTCTATTTCCTGATATCTTATCAGTTAAAAATGTATCATTATGATAATGAATAATTTATTTTGTATTGATATTCATTTACAATTTTAATAAAATCTTCTTTCTTCATCCTTGAACATCCTGTAAGATAGGCTTATAGTACGCATACTGCTGTTTTGATTCACCTCCATTAATATACATTTTATTAGGATTTTTATCGACGAAATTAGAGAGTTAAAATATACATTATTTTAAGTGATAAGGTTGTTTCTTCTCATTATTTTAAAATAGATAACATTCAAGATGATATCGAAGATGAAGATGCAAATATTCAAGATGATAAAGAATCCCTCTAGGATGGTAATACTCGAAAATGGGTGGATACTGGAAAATTGGATTAATGTAATCGAGGTTACCGAATTTGGTGGACTCAATTTTACATTTTACTCAAATAGACCTGAAATTCTTCAATCTTAACTTTTTCAAATTATGCATTATGTTGAACAATATGCTTACATTTATCGAAAATCCAAGTAGTAATACCAATAATAAAATCTCTAGAAACATATTACGTCTTTGTAAATAATTGTATTTTATTTCTATATTTACCATCATTTGATTGTCATATCAATTGTGATAAAACCAAATGATTCATCCCAAAGTAAATGACATAATTTTCTGAATTCAACACATATTATATCACCGCCTACAAATTCGTGATATAGATGATTAAGATATTGATCATCTTGTCTAAATGTATTTTGAATAAAAATTCATTATCTCTAATCGACTGCTTACGAATTTTTGAATATTGTTGTGCTAAATGCCAACAGTCAGTTCTTTTATGTCTACCACGTGTAAAGTATTGTCTTATAATATATTGTTTCTCTAATATGTAATCCTGGAATAATAGTAATGAATTTTCTTCACAATCATGTGGTATTATATCATCGTGATGACTTACAAATGAAATAATGTCATCTTCAAGTTATTACATTTATTCATAATTCTTGATATTTATCTTTTTCAAAAGTCTTTGCATGTATGTAAATGATTAAATTTTTCCCAATTTAACCATTCTGGGTAATATAATTATCAATAATAAAGTTGTTTTACGGCATCTACTACGTCCTGTAATAGCACATCGTGTAGATGTTGGTTGTAATTTTCCATGTTTCAATGTTATACGTTCATTTCGTTGTAGTACTTTTGGACTCCAATCTATTTTTAATTACTTTTAAATGTGTAAAATATTGAAACTAAGGGGATTATCTTCAGTATTTCATAAAAAACTTGCTACACTTATTCTACAGTTGCCTGTATTGGATTCTATTTTCATTTCTAATACCTAACGTAACTTCAAATAACAATAAATATTATGAACCTAAAAAAGAAACATCCTCAAATCCCACGAGGAAAATATAATATGAACGTTTAGAAAATTATATACAATCACATGCACCATTTAATTTACCAAACATTATAATAATCCTAATCATATTCGCTGAAGAATTGAAATTAAGAGTAAATTTAAATTTAACTTTGATTCTGTAGATTCTATTGGATTGTTATTAGGTTTTCAAAATGAAATTGTTAAAAAAGAACCTACTATTGGTAATATTTCGAAATTCATTCCATTTGAAAAAAAATAATGTACATTTAATTGTACTGAATGGATAATTCTAAAAGAAAATTAGAAAAATCATAGGGAAGCAAATATTCTAAGATTGTTTAAACCTCAATTAAATTATCAAATATGTATTATTTATGAACCTTCTTATTCATTATTTGAACCGGTTTCTTATAAAGTACGTGTTCATGTTCGAATTACAGATTAACATAATAATATAATAAATTATAATTGTCCTATGGTCACTGACATTTTAGAAGTAAAAATATAATATATTTTTATTCCCTTGTAAATGGAGAAAATTGAAAGTTAGCAATGGCCATCGTTCCCTGCTACTGATCGTAGTAAGAATAATTTTGGACAATCTAATATTACGACAGATAGTCATATGAATGTAGGATATGGATGCATTTGGAAAGAGCGGAATTATATATCCATTATCAAATTATTCATAAAATGGATATGATTATTAGGCATATGACGGCAAATCGATTATTAAACTGATCGATAATATTGTACCTTATTTATTTTCATATATTAGTGTTAAAAAAGATGTCAAAATATATTTAGATTAGCGTATCTTTGAAATACTTGAACTGTTCTACAGAAAAGTACCTATTCAACAACTGAATTCATTCCGTTAGATGTTGCTGGTGTTATTATCCATTAAAAACAAAAGATGGTGAGGTATTGTATCCTTGAAACAATTAGGAGGATTTTTTAAAAATTTCATGGCAATTACTTGGGAAGGTTATTTTACAATTTAATTTACTTGGTCTCCTCTTATGAATGCTGTTTTATACTGATGGAAATAAAAAACAGATGGTACATTATATTCAGCAACATCACCAAGAGAAGGATAAATTGTAATTGAAAATTTCACAATTAATATACCAATTATATATTATGAATCTTCTTATGCTAAGATTTTTAAAGCTAATCTAATTAATTATCCAATATCTACAATTTCATTTTTGATTTACAAACATTTGAATTATCTGAAATTATTGGAAAAAATTGTTTTGAAATCGCTATTACCAATTATTATCATTCTTTACAATATGAGATGCCATATTTTTTGTAATATTCCAAACAGACTTGATTATCAAGAAAAAAATTCAAGTCCATTTAATCATTTATAACTACAGAATATTTCACTATAGTGTTCAAAATGAACAATTTCCATCAGAATCTTGGAATAAAGCTCACTAATTATTTTTAAAAAGGCGTATCGTTCATTTACAGAATTCAAGAGAAGTACGAATAATAAAAATTTAGAAATGTTTACATCACGATTTCTACTTATTTGCAGGATGGCCCATTTATTAGATAAATACATAATTAGAAAAATGTAGATGCTGCACCAAAAGCCCTAATAAGACAATTGGATATATGTATGGTAAAAAGACCTTAACATATGACTTCCTACATGATATAATTCAAGAAAAGTTTTGATATGAATGGATAAAAATAATGTTGATATCAATATATTCATGGTTTTATGAAATGGATGACTAGAATATTTTGAGCAATGAAAGTGGATCCAGTAACAAAATTATAAAATAACTTATCCATATTGATGTCGAAGACACTACTGATATATGAATTGTAGCTTTATATAAATACGTGTTCTCTTATATCTAATTCCTTATCTCTTGCGCAAAAATCACGTGTGTTCTCTCACGTAATATGCAGAGGTGTTCTCTTATCTCTTATGCAATATTTACATATTCACACCTGCACTGTTACCTCTTACGTTGAATGAAAATGTCTAGATATCTTAACACCTCAAAACGGGTAATATTTTAGACTAAAATTAGAATATTTCAAAATAGAGAAAACGTGGTCTAGCGTTGTGTTTGTTGAGTATAGGATATTTTGTTAAAATGGTGTATGAAATGATGGATGGAAAAAATTAAGTGATTTAAAATATGTGGTCTAGAGTTCTGAAATAGTCCACAACGCGTAAAATAAAAATATGTTGGATAAAAATTGATACAAAAAGAATAAACATAAGCATTTTAATACGATTTTAATGAAAAAAATGAGTAGATTTTAAAATCTAAAGTTTGTGGAAACATTTACTTGAATGATTTTTAATGATTAATTGTCAATCCTTGGTTTGTAAACTTCTGTGATAGGTCAAGAAATCTGTATCGTAATGAGTATCATTATGCAATTGGTTGCAACCATCAAATGACAGATTTATACAACGGGAGCATAAAATGTTATTACGTTTTCTTCTCGAATCAGGGGTTCACCCTACCTTCCTGGAACGCTTTGTTTGGCGGAAACCGATATTGAATTGAATTTATGCCTTATTTTACGTGGCGAGACTCGGGCCATTACACCCGCTCTTCTCGCTGACCACGCAATTTTCGCTAAGCTCGTTTCACCCATTAGCGAAGAAAGGTAGTATTTTTCGGCGACAAAACAGGCTTCGAGGCGTCATTTAGGCTTGAGAATCTTTTATATGCAAGTAAATCTACTCACTTGGGACAGACGGCTTTACTTCCCCTCCGAAGGAAGACGTACGAAGGATTTTACCCCTTAAAAATCCACGGCTCCGATCGGGTTTGAATGGGTATAAATGTTCCGATACGCTAACCGGGACTCCATCGCCGCCGACAAACAGAACGCGTTTTCTCGAATATTTACTTGTTGAGATCGCTCTTCCTAGCTACCGGGAACGGCTCAGCAGTTTCCGCGCCCGCAGGTCCTGAAGTAGCGCGCGGACGGCGATGGCGCTGTTGCTGGCGGAGGGGGCGCGGCCGCTGGCGGCGCTGGCGCTGGCGGCGTGGCTGGCGCTGGAGCTGGCGATGATGGCGCGCGCACAGGACGACTGCCCTCTCAAGTGCGACTGCGAGCGCACGGGCGTCGGCATCCTCGTCAACTGCTCCGCACGCAACCTCACCGCCTTCCCCACCATCCCTGCCAACATCTCGGAGCTGGTGAGTGTTTGCGGCCGCAAGCGCGCTCTCGGACGCCTTACATCGCGTCTGCCCTTCATCACAATCATTTCATCCCTGACAATGAAATATTGAAAGAGACCCCGAAATCTGAAGTAATAAAACATTTTATTTTTGTTAAAATATGTTAAATTCCTGATTTCTCTTTTTTTAACCTGACAGTTCTGAGAATACTTTTACACTTTGGAGAAGGGTGTTCAAGCCAGACATATTTGTGCAAGCCATCTACTTCTACTTTCACAAATGAATATCATTGTTAAGAAATCTAATAAGACCAGTGAAAATCGTGAAATTTGATAAGGATATTTTAGACTCAAATAACAAAACAAAATCACTGTGGAATTTACATGTGGAAAAATACAACTAGTAATCTTGTAGAGAAAGTTCTTTTAAAGGGTTTATTTTATAGAAGGGAACGATCTTGTAATAGGTGCTACAGTAGCACAAGTTTGAAATCTCCCTTTTGGAGGAGCTTACCTTCGCGGGCATCTTCCACCGCTGCATTGGGGCGCAGTTTCCTTCCATCTTGGCCTACTGCGAGCACGCGATTCGTCGATCTCCCCCAGCAAGAAGGAGATATTAATCATCACTGTGATTTTCGTCGTTGTCGTCCTCAGATGAACTGTCACGTAAAGCAACAATAATTTTGCCCCTTCTTCGTCCACGGTCATGTCTGTTAATATATATTCCTTTTTCATTTTCTTCGCGTGTGTACACATCTTCCGTTGATCTCGGCAATATTCAGAAAATAGGGTTCAACATTTTCTTTAATTCGCAGAGGGGTACCACAGAGGAGCTTTCTTTATCCACATTATCCTTAATGTAACCCCAAACTTAATTCGTTGGAATTGAGATCGGGATGGTACGGAAAGAGGCAAAGAGGAATGTGCCCGTGTTTCATAATAATTTCATCTACAATGTTTGTTTTTAGTGCATCTATTTGCTTAACTTTCTCCAGCAACTGTAAGAGAAACATCCTCAACAATTTGGTTACTGTCCAACCAGTGTAGGACAACCTTTTTCAGAGTCGCTGATGTGGATTTATTGTCTTTTTCGACACTGTGGTGTGCGGCATTATCCATTACAATGGCACTTGGCTTGTCTATACGCAGAATGGAATTTCGGAGCCATGTTGAAAACGTTTTAAAGTTCTTTGAGTTGAAGTAATCTGCAGTTTTTTGTCCGGATTTAAATAGCAAAAGAGAGTCGTTCACAAATCCTTCTTTACCTCCTTCGTGTTCAATGATCAGTCTCTCTCTCTTCCTAAATTTCTGAGATACTCCCAGTATCTCATCGAATTTCCAGCAGGATGCAATAGAATGGGATTCTTGTATGTATGTTTCGTCGATGTAAATAATAATCCAGCCGAGTCCTAGGTACTTTCTAATTTCAATAACGAATTGCATCCGCCAACAAACAATGTCAGAGCATTCAGTCAAATGTTTCGGTAAGAGCATTCAACTAAATTCGATTGACATTCCTTCCAAATGAATCTCAATATTTTTAGTCTCAATCTTAAGAATTCCCTACCACAATCTGTGATGCCACCTTCCTTTAATAAAGCCCGAAATTTCTCAATAGTGGGACATTTCTTTCTCACAGTGTACACACTATGCACTTTCAGACGAATTGCAGAAACTGATGCTGCAATTCGTCAGAAAGTACTCTTCAGAAAATCCACTTCAACGAATTGACTTCAATTCTCTTATTCCTTTCCGCCTTTTTTCCTGTTGTAGTGGGGAATGTCAGTTTCTCTTGCTGTAGATTCTTTTCTTTCGAGATGTATTGTTTTTACGGTGAAATCAGACCGTCCTGTTGTATCATTGGTCATGTTAATCACGTTAGCACTTAATGATATTTTCTTTTTTTAAATCTTTAAAAAATTCATGCACATGAAAATTATTTGTGTCTGTTCTCTAAGAGGACTACCCCCCACTGAACGTGATGTTGAGGCTATATTTTCTGCGAATTGATGTCTTAGAAACAAACACACTATATTACGCCTGAGAACTTCACTTGAAATTAGGCCTCCCCGAAGATACGCCACACTTGCATAGCTCTCGAAGACGAAAGGAAAAGAACTGAGGACCTCGAGCGATGTTTTCTATACATAAGTTTCTTTTACTGAACTCTCATGTATTATTAGTCAGCGTTTGTGTCTTGCCAGCTGAAATTGTTTAGATTTGTGTTGCTGACACTTTTGACTGCACATTGAGTCCAGGCATGCCCAGGCACGATAGCGGGCCTATGCTTTCAGACCCCCTCAACCCGGCCTCTCCCGGATGGCCCGCAATGTGCGTGAGGGAGCGATATTTTCACGGGAAGTAGCAGTAGATGGTGGGAGTCATCCCTCCTTGCGCATACGCAGTCGAAGAGAGATTACAAACTCGTTCCACTGTAGTCTCTTTAACGAGTATTTTTCAAGAATTGGGGTTGCAGTTGATCTCTAAAGGGTCTGAAGGTACAATATTCAACATCGGGCATTTCCTCAAGAATTGTTCGTCGCGATGTTTGTTTCCAGAACGTCTTCCTTTGAAATTCTAAAAACATCGGTCGAATAAAAAAATAAGTATTCGGTCGGTTTTGATGAATTTCCGGATTGTTTGTTAAACCCTTATAAACCCATTAACTTGTATATTTGATGCATCCTTATGCACCGCAATAATGTTTTCAAAACAGCTAAGATTGATCTGCTCTTCAAAAAAGGAACAAAAACGAAATTCTAAATTATCGGCAAATTTCTCTTTCGTCAGTTTTCTCAAAAATGTTAGATTTTTTTACATTCGAATAAAACCCTTCCTAAGTAAGTACGAAGCGTTTTAAGATTGCCAACATGGGTCTATAAAATCAAAATATACTGAAACAAGCATATTTTTTATTAATGGATCAAAATGAAACAAGGATGGAAATATATTTAGACCTTTCAAAAACATTTGACGTCATTTATCACATTTTACTTTCAAAATTACATACATATGGAATTCGTAGTTTTACTCTAGATAAATTATGTTCGAACATCATATAACAATCTCATAGAGTTGAAATACTGTGCTGGAATGATGAGAAATTATTTACTGACTTTCCTAATTCATTTTCATTTGCATATGGTGTCACACAGGGTTCGATTTTAAGCCCTATTCTCTTCCTATCTCTCCTATACGTAAGCGATAAGTCAATGTCGATTCGAAATGATAGAACAGTTCTTGCGTTCAAACATTCTTTGTGGATGATATAATATATTTAAGCAATAGAGAAACAGTAAATAGTACAATATCATGTGTTTAAATTTGGTAATAAGATATTAACAGTAAGTGCAAGGAATCCAGTTTTCCATTTCAAATAACAATGCTATACTCCTTTGAAAATAAACGTTATGCAGTTGACTGATATAATGGTAACAATTTTGGGCCTCTCAATTCAGTGAAAAGTATATATATATATATATATATATATATATATATATATATATATATATATATATATAATATAATTATATATATTATATTTCTCTAATACCACCTACAACCCACACACAACTTACCACTTCACAGTAGCACGCATGAACCGTAAGCGGGTTATCAAGATTTTGCTCGTGAAGCGAACTTTAAAATCTAGGGAGCAGGATCTTCAGGGTGCGAGAAAGGTTTGAACCCTTGACACAATAAAATCACACAGATTGCACACAAACGAGCGTATAATTTACCATAAACTTTTAGTGGCATAAGTTAATGACGAAACCAAGAATACAGAATCACACTTTTACAAAGTATAATCAAAACACCTTTACAACACACACTCATATGAATGAACACCTAATTCATTTCAAAATTGATACTCTGAAATAATTACACTACTACACTGGGAATTTCCTTGGAAAATTAATTATATCTAAATTTGTGCTATCCTAATTACATTGTACGTGAAATCAAAAATTCAATTTACAATCTCTCGCTTCAAGATATTACATGTGAAGAACAAAATGTGTGCAAGTGCACTACTATAATTTACAATTTAACTGTGTCTGAAAATAGCGAAACAATAAATGTCCTAAGTAGAATGATTTTAGGCAGGCAATAGCGCATCAAAACGTCTTCTACTATAATACTGTAATTTGTTGCCACCCGTGTCCTCAAATTCTTAACACTTCCTATACTAGTTTTTCCTGCCGACGTGAACTTGACCTATTTTCTGCGGGTTCCTAACTGTTTACCTCGTGGACTTCCCACTTTTGGCTTGATGGTCGTGCGCTGGTCCTGCGGTGACGCCGCTCGTCCCAACCTCTGCGTTGTAAGAGAACGGATTCGCCTCTGCCGTCTGCGTTCCTTCTTGCGTCCTCTTCCGTTCTCTTCGTTTTCGATCCGTCTTTCTTCCTTGTGCGCCAAGTCTCTGCCTCTTTTCTTTTTCGTCTGCTACCGGCGCCTCTGACTACGCCCACGTTGCGAAAATGTCCTTGCACTTTACCGAATACCCGTCCAAGTTCCTCGCTCGTTGCTACTTCTACTTTACAAGCCAAACTTTTAAATGTCCTTCACAACGGGCAACTTTCACTTCCCGTGTTTGTTAATTGAAGAAACACTACTTAATCTGCACTATTCGCGGACGACTAACTAGAACGTCTGTTCGACGCCGAATACTCCTACCTAGTAGTCGTTGCAGCGGCAAACAATATCTAAACGTTTAAACGATGTTTAACGAAAGTGTTGACTCGGCTATCGTGGTAACGAGCTGCTTACTCGGCGCGTGGTTGGCAGAAAGAGGAGCTTCCGCTTGCCGGGTTCGCGTATTTATGGCACGGCTCCTGGGGAAATTTGTGTGGGCCGCTACTTCCCTCTCTTAACCCTTCAAAAGGAAAACATTGCTTGCAAGTTCGCATTCGCTTAGTACGGCAACGGATACCAGGCGCGCGTTTAAGTACCTCTGCCTACAACGCCTGTTATCCTCGCTGCTTCCGTAGTGTTCACACATGAGACGGTGGTGTTATGGGTTGCACAATCCCATAACGCCACATTATATATATATATATATATATTATATTATAATATTATATATATATATATATATATATAAATAAATAAATTTATATATATATTAATATTTCGATAATTTGGATAAAATCATTTTATTTGGATAAATATTGCTTGATCTTCTAACATGATAAATTATTGTATTTTCATTATGTGAATTTTTCTCCAATGCATTTGGAAAAGAAGTGAATCAAATAGTTTTTCGTGCTCCTTACCGCAATTGCGTGCGCATGCGCAGGTGCTGGAGCTGGACGTGTCGCACAACGCCATCCGGCGGCTGCCGTCGTCGACGCCGGCGCTGCCGCTGGTGCGCGTGCTGTCGCTGGCCGACAACGAGCTGAGCGCGCTGCCCGGGCGCTGGCTGCGCCGCGTGCCGGCCCTGCTGCGCCTCGACCTGGCGGGCAACCCGGCGCTCACGCTGCTGGGCCTTGGGGAGAGTGGCCTCACGCACGCGCGCAGCCTGCAGCTGCTCAACATGTCACGCTGCGCGGCCGTCGACGACCTCGCGGGCGCCGAGGTGGCGCTGGTCAGCAACTCCCTCGAGGTGAAGCGTGCTGTCTTTGTTGGTATTGATATTGATGTCACTGTTATTGTTGTCACTGTTTTATTGTTGTCTGTTGTTATAGTTGGCATTTTTATTGCTGTTGTTATTGTTATTTTTGCTGTTATTGTTGTTTAGTTATAGATGTGCAATGATATTCATATTGGAAATTTTCACAGTGACGTGACCAGAACGCATCTAGGGAAGGGCTAAGAAATTTTCAATTCAGAGTAAAGTAATAAATTGTAGTAGAGTAGTAAAGTAGTAAATTGAAAATTGAAAATCATAATAACCATTTATTATCAAATAAAGCAAGTATTCTCAGGCCATTATTTCAATACGTTGTTGTAATTTATTAAGAAGTATCTACACATCATTAATTGCAAGTATACTGATGAAAATTATTATTTTTCTTACTCAAATTATCTGGTTCAAAGATCAAACAATGATTAAATCAAAATAAATTTGTCACAGGAACATTTTTACGTTTTAGGTTGTTTTTATGCCACCTTGTTCAATATTAATATTTACATTCAAATCCAACTGCAAAGTATATTAGAAGAAACTTAGTCACACATTGAGTGAGCATTTGTTAATGTTTTCAAAGGGAAAATTATTATTTTTCTCTAATGACATTTTGACTAAAGTCATTCTACAAGATACCGCAAGACTCAGGGTCTACTGGTCAAAATGCTCACCTTACTCGTTTGGATTATAGGGTTCAAAATCCGATCCATTTTATGACGAACAAAGTGGATTCGAAAGAAGTTTTCTCCGAATTCCCCTATTTCCCCTGTCTCATTTGTCCATTTGTCCGTCATCTGTATCATACCATCAAAATCACAATTATCTGTCAATAAAGATCATTCGTTCACATCACGTGGGTACGGCTTAAAGACTTAGGAATTACAATAAAAATACAAGATACAGGTTTCCTCATGAGATAAAACAATTCGAATACTGCCGATACGGTGGCCGAGATCGCTAAGGCAGTAGTGCCGTAGCGAACTCGGACCGAATGATCGCGGGTTCGAGTCCCGCCTCGGGCATGGTTGTATTGTGTTTCGTCCTTTCACCCCCTATCATCATCATTATCGTGTCAACCCACAGTTACCATACCGTTATAAGCAATAGTGGTCGCTAATGACCTAGTAGTTGATGCGACCTTAAATAACAAACAAAAAAAAAACAAAAAATTTCAAATACTACTCCATAATACAGTAAACTCTGTTGGTATAACAAGATTTTCGTATAACACGAATTTCGCCGCTACCAGAACAAATCTGCGGTCCTGGCAGGAGATTACGATAAGACGGACATACATATATAACACAATTTTTTATTACACGAACGATTATTTCCGTCCCTTGGAATTCTTGTTAAGGGTTTACCGTAATATATGTATATGCACAATATAATAGTGATAATAATAATAATAATAACAATAATAATAATAATAATAATAATAATAATAATAATAATAATAATAATAATAATTGCATTCGAGTGATCATACGCGCTGCATCAACAATTAGACAATTGGGGATTGGTTCGAATAATTAAGTATTATTAGGCAATTGGTTTCTTAATAGCATACAGCATGGACGGCCAGTGCGGTGAGTTATGGATTGACACAGTAACACAGTAATTTAAAGTTTTGTGGATATTCGTCGAAATCAATGGCGTCTGCAAGTGATATTTTTTCCTCAAACTTTGGAATGACGCGAGTTGTAAAGCTAAAACTTGCTTCTGGAATAAAATTGAATGTAACAAATTGATATATCCTGTGTTGTATCTCCCTAGTGTGAGACATTTCTGCCGCAGGTACTGGACCTTAGCCGCTGCAGTCTTCCCGAGGCAACAGGGAAGCTCGTGGCCGGCTTCCCGTCTCTGCGGCGCCTCGACCTCTCCCACAACCCCTTGAACCTGCTGCAAGGCCTCAACTCGTCCACGCTGCAGGAGCTGTACCTGGTGCACACGGGGCTGGACAGCATCCACCCGGCCGCGCTTCTCGACCTGCCGTCGCTCACCGAGCTGGACGTGTCGGGCAACCGCGGCTTCGCCTTCCCGGAGCGAGGTGTGCTGTCGGCCTCGCTGACCGGGCTGCGCGCTCGCTTCTGCGAGCTGCGCCTGCACAATCTGAAGGCGTTCCCCAACCTGCGCTACGCCAACCTACAGGGCAACGGCATCCAAGGCGTGTGGAACACCAGCTTCGCCAACGAACACCTCATCGAGTTGGATCTGTCGAACAACAACATTCACCGCGTCCATCCGGATGCATTCGGACATCTACCGCGACTTCTGAAAGTCAGTTTGGCCAACAACAAGATTATGTCTATTCACCCGGATGTGTTCGTAAAAAATGCATTCTTGGCGGAGGTTAACTTGTCGAGTAATACCCTGACGGACTTGGGACAAATGAAAGCGGAAGCGGTGACAACTCTGGATGTGAGCCAGTGCAATGTGGACAAGTTGACTATAGATAGTCTAGAAGGGATGCCAAACTTGCGCATTCTCGATCTGTCTTCCAACCGCTTGGAGTATGTGCCTGATAACCTCACTTCGGATTCTTTGCAGTGGCTCGACTTGAGCTTTTGCAGGTAGAAAATGTTTCAATATTTTCTTGCTGCTGAAAACTACATTGTAACAGTAAAGCTAACATTGTAAATGTAGTGTAGATGTAAATGTAAATCTCGTTGTTGTTGTTGTTGTTGGATGCTTTTTTTGAGTGTGTGTGTGTGTGTGTGTGAGAGAGAGAGAGAGAGAGAGAGAGAGGGAATATATCAGGACTTAAGGGGAGGAAGTGGGAGAAAATTAGCGGAAAAGGTTGTAAAATATTCAACGTAATATCCCTATTAAATGATCAAATCTATTATTTTCTTTATTTCCTGTAATCGCGACTACAATAGAAAGGTTTGTATTTCAGAGCTAACAGTTTCTGCAGTTACTACAGCTAACAGAGTTCAGAAGTTTAGAGGTGTTCACAGTATTATTAATAAGTATTCTTTGCAACCACGAGATTTGGAGTTTTGTTTGCGTGGCATAAATGTACTTTCGAAATATTTTCCATCAGATGTTAGAAATTGTTTGAAATGTTGGCCAAATTATTCATCGCATCCATTATATTCTATCGTGCCGGGAGTAAAAGTAAAATATCAAAATTATGGAATTTGTTCATATGCGTTTTACAGAAGACAAGCTGTTCATGTGCATCAAAGTGCAAGTGATATTTATTTATATGCCACATAAGTTCAATTCAAACTGCGGAAAAACAAAAAAACCTGAGCTCTACTCTTCCTATCCTAAACGATAGTCTGATATTATTGTCTACCTATTTGTGTATTTTTGATATCTCGTTTCGTTAATGTGACAAAACGCCTTATTAAAATGTTGGGAAATGAAACATTGGTGATTATACTAAATTAAATTTATATTGAAACGCACTACCTGACATTTACGTTACTATTGTTGGCAAAGAGCGTTGACTCTCATGTAATTGAAAGGTTACCAAAAACCAACTATTGCCTAATGCAAAATATATTGTGATGTGGTAGTGGTACTCTTCTGAAAGCAGTGACCCTTCTCTCGCTTGGATGCGCGCAGGCTAGCGGCCGTCGGCAACGACACCTTCCGGCGCCTGCCGTCGCTGCTCGTGCTGAACCTGTCGGGCAACCGCTTCACGGAGCCCTTCCGCAAGCACGCGTTCTCCCACAACAAGCGGCTGCGCGCGCTGCGCCTCGCTGACAACCCCTGGCGCTGCGATTGCGCCTCGCACGACTTCCTCGACTTCGCCGAGTTCACCTTCACCGTCGACCAGAAGGAGGCCATGGAGCGCGCGCGCTGCGCCTCGCCTGAGGCCGTGCAGGGACAGTCCTGGCTGGAGGTGAGTGCGGAGTTGCTCGTCCTTCCCACATAGTATGAAGACTAGCAAGGAACACCGCGCCGTTTGTGTCGCAGGCGTGCTACGACGTGTGGTACCCGCCGTTGGACGAGCGCGAGCCCGTACGGCGCTTCGGGGTGGCCATGCTGGCGGTGGCTGCGGTGGCGGGCGGCACGCTCGTGCTGCTGTCGGCGCTGCGCCAGGCCGTGCAGAAGCGGCGCAAGGAGGCCGAGCGACGCCGCCAGGAGGAGATGGAGCGGCGCCTCGAGGTGCGGGTCAGACCTTCCTTAAACAAGCGGTTGTCTGTGCGCTCGCTTGGCCTATATGTGTATGTGAGTGCGTGGTATGTGTGTGTGTGTGTCTAGTGAGTGTGTATTCCTGGTGTGTATTGTATGTCCATGATGTGTGTATATATTTCATGTATGCCATGTGTGTGTATGTATGTACTTGGCATGTGTATGAACCTGGTATGAACATGTGTTCTTGGTGTGTATGTTTGTATGTGCCACGTGTGTACCTGTATGTCTGAAGTGTGTGTGTCTGGTGTGAGTGTATATATGCGTACCTAGTGTGTACATGTGTGTGTCGCTGAAGTGTATGTTTGTGTGTGTCGCTGGAGTGTATGTTTGGGTGTGTCGCTGGAGTGTATGTTTGTGTGTGTCGCTGGAGTGAATGTTTGTGTGTGTCGCTGGAGTGAATGTTTGTGTGTGTCGCTGGAGTGTATGTGTGTGTGTGTGTGTCGCTGGAGTGTATGAATGCGTGTCGCTGGTTTATTGGTGTATTAATGGTGTGTCTGTGTACTAGTGTCTATTTGTGTGCACGGTATGTATCTATGTGTATCTCGTTTGTGTGTCTCGGGTATCAGTCTCCTCGTGTACGTGTATCTCTTGCGTGTGTGATTATGGTATGTATGTGTGAGCCTGATGTACAGTGTAAGTGCGTGTGAGAGTTTTCAGCAAATCTAGTGCTAAGGAATAAGTAGAGGGAAATTGTCGATCGTGGGACGAATGTTTAAATTTTGCACCGGATGTTTACATCCGGTATCAATATCCGGTAGTGTGACCTCGCAAGGTCATCCTTGTGACGTCACAAGCATCGATCGACTAAGGTCACGTAAGAGTAATATGAATATGATTAAAATATTTATTTTAATTTTAAAATCCTGTCTGTCTTATTCCTTTCATGAAATAACATCAGAGGTCTATAAGAGAAGAAGCGGAGGATTGTGGGTGGAGTCCCTGCTGGCGGTGACGTAGGGGTAAATAAAAATAATTGAAAAGAAAAATGATTGCTGGAAAACATTCTATTTATGTTAAATAACATACATGCACATCATCACATCTAAAAAATTATAAAGCATAGTGAGAGAATACAGTACAAAAATCTCATCATTATCTCCCTCGTCTGACGGCAGCCAAAAATGTTTTGATTCGTTCACCGTTTGTAAAATCTTCAGCCTTCAGTTCGTCAATGTTTAAGGTGGAAATGTCTACACCAAGGCTGACAATAAACATTGAAAATAATTTCGATTTTTTGGCCAACGTTAATACAACAGACCTTGTACATCTTCGACTTCGCTAAGCGGCGATTTCGACATGTAGTCATTTATATCGGCTATTTACCAGCGTGCGATTATCAAGAACAAATCGATTATCGATCCCTAACATATCTGAAACATTGCTAACCTTTGCTCGCAGGAACGAGAACGCGAGCTGCGCGAGCAGATCCGTCTGGAGCTGGACGACGAGGACATCTTCCGCAGCCCGCGCTCGCGCCCGCAACGCACGCCCAGCGAGATCACGCAGCCGCCCACCTACGAGGAGGCCTTGCTGCTGTCGCGCTCGCAGCAGGACCTGCTCGACCAGCGCACGGCGGCGGCGGCGGCGGAGGGGTCGGCGACACCCGACTCCGTCGCCCACACCCCGGCCACTTGCGCGCGCCACCTCATTTACGAGGTGGAGGTGGAGGCGGCGCCCAAGTCGCGCCCCGCGAAGCCGCCCAGGAAGACCGGCAAGTGGGCGAGCGGTAAGTGCGATTCACATAAATGAGGGCTCATTTTGGGTTCATCGCGCTTTATCTAATCTCGCCCTTTACTTACATACACGTACACTTATATGACCTACACTAACACACATGCCGGGACAGCGGTCGGAAGCTTAGAGCATGTCCCGACTGAGGCGGTATCCCGCTAGAGAGATACACCTGGTTGGGGAAACCCCGCAAGCCGACGGTAGGTCGACGGCAGATCTCATCAACCAGCGGGAGATCACCGCCACCTTGCGAGGAATAAACACAATCTACACTTACGGTACTAGTGACCTTTGTTGTTTACGGGCCTGGAAACACTAATAACCAACCAACCATCCAAAGATTCGGTATTCGACATGTCCGTGAAGTTGGCACTGCCATCACAGCGAAAACCACCGAAACCATTACCATTCGTTTGTATCTGGTTTGTGACCATTTGTACCACAAAAACATTCGTTTGTAGCAAATCCACTTGTATGTTACAGCACTTTCTATTGTGGAGGTGCCAATTTCACAATGGCATCGTCACCATCGTAAAAAATGGAAACATTGTTAACATCTGTACCTTGTTCTTACCTGATAGTTCAACCAGAATTTTCGTTTGTACCAGACAACTAATGAAGATGCAGCCTTTTAATGAGGCGGCGGGGGGTGCACCGGAACTCTACCACCATTCTCGTCACAGCAACCCAACACAACAATAGGAAATGATATTTAATCGATTGTACCTGTTTTTACCGGGAGGTCCATCTGAATTTTTGTTTGTACCAGACAAGTAATGAAGATACAAGCATTTTAATGAGGCTACGCGCGTCTCACCCTAACCCTAACTGCTGTAGGCTCAGAAAATTATACTTCTTTTATTATTTTTTCAAAACTACTAGCCGTTGCGAGGCAGTCGTGTACGGTCATCAGAAGACGGTGGATTTTGTTGACCTAAAACAATGTAAAAAATGATCAATAAAATGCTCTTAAAATGCTTTAAAATGCCATAAAAACAGAGAAAAATGACGTACAAAAATTTGATCATAGCCATTTCAGATGAATAAGTCATCTGTTGGACACAATGTTTTTTTTTAAATCGAGGCTCCTGCCTTTGTTCAAGTAAACTCAGGTTGACAACTTTGGGTTTGGACTGTTTTTTAAAAAAGTAGCCTTTATTCATAGTGAATTCTGCCGAACTGACAGGCGCCGAAAAACGTCACAGGAAACTCACGAGGACTTCCGGGCACGGCACAACGCCGCGCTGCTTGGCTTGACAGGCGCCCATTGCGGATGGTCCGGCACGGGGCGCCACTTGTTACAGTAGCGATGGAGACTTTGATCGGAGAATTGATGACGAGGTCTTTACTATTACTAACTTACATATCAGATCACCATTAAACATTAAACATGATAAGAGTCCAATTTTATTAATTCAGCCGGCATTTACAAAAACGTTTAACTAGATTTAGTATAAGAGCAAGGCAAACGATTCATGATCCAATTCATGTCCAAACTACTAATTATATCACAATTAATGTACAATATCCGGTTGTATATATTAATTATGGTGTGCATATGTATTCGTATTTTAAATTTCCTCGGGTGAATATTGGAATAAACGATGTATATTAACTTTTAAAAAATTATCACTTGGAATTCGTCACCAATCATTCAGTATTTGTAGTGATGATAGAATTTAGTAATTTAAAAGTTAAAAAATCGCATTTTGAAAATAAGGCTATAGCATGATAAAAATTAAGAATTAGCATTTTGTAGAATTTTTGAGAGAATTAATATTAAGGGAGGTCTCTTTGAAATAAAAATTGGTAAATTTTATTTCCCCATTAACATAAGGAATTAAGAAAAACTAGTTTAATATTTCATCATTTCTGAACAAATTTTCAAAGATTTTTAAATTCAAAGAATAATCCCTCTTTTGTATAGAACTATAAGCTTCTTTATAACATTATTTAAAGGAAAGGATAAGAAATGTCTTGCAATTTGAAAGTACATATTAAAACATACACGGCCTTTGTAAATAATGTGTTTTTGTTAAATGAAACCAATTTATATAAATATTATTAATATATCACACAATCAGTGGAAAATTAACTGAGGGCATATTATAATGTTGGCTTCCCTTAATCTATTTCTTCTGACAGTATCAACAAAAAGTATCCTAAATAATCGTTCAGCTTCTAAAATGTTGTCCACTGTCAAAATTAAATGTTTAAAAAATCTCGATGTGTTGTCGATGTCGCATCTCTAATTAGAGAGCCAACACGAAGGGAACCATAAATTACAATTTAGCGATGAAAACGCAGATTTACGTTCATTTCACTTTTTGCCGTCAATTTTCCATTTTATCGCAGAAAACGTTCAGAAATATATTGCACTGACCGTCAAACATACAATTACTTTTTTCTGCGTTTCGTAAAATTTCGTATTTATAGCAATTGCTAAAACTCACCATCTCAAAGTATTTGTGACTCCATTGGAAATAGTGAGGAACGAAGAGGGTGAAAGACACCTGATAGCAAGCGCTTGTAAGTCCCAGGCGGCTGTTATTTCCTGGAACAGCACGTCAACCCCTCCCAAGATCACTTGCCTTCACCTGATTTAATTCTCGGTGAAGCATGCGGGGCGGGGGCGGGGCCGGTCCGGTCCGGGACCGGCATTATAATATATGAACGGCTGGCATTATAATATATGAACGAAGAAATTGAATAGACAACTCAGGAATTCTGTGGTTACTCCGTTACTCGTAAATATTGTTGAAGATTGATTAATATGATATAAAAATTAATGAAATCAGAAAAATGCAGTAAAAATGACGCAAGAAAGGCAAAAAACTACTTATTAGTCGAAATCGAGGAGAAAGAGAAAAATTACTCATACAAATTATTAATGTCGTTTATTCATAACATTAAATGAATTTCTATTCTAAACGGCATAGTTGTGGAAAAGAAAAAATACATTTAATTAAAATCCGCCCCCTAGACATTGAGGATACTTCTCTTCGTCTTTTGCGATAAAGAAGGGAGCAGTGTATAATAACTAATTTATTACCTATCTTAACCTACGGAACAAGCCGGAGCTTTGCCCGGCAACCTTAAATTCGGCGGGCGCGAGGCAAGGTGTTCCACAAGATGCTCCTGGCCTTCGCCAGATCGAAGGAAGCGGAGCTCCTCCAGTTCTGGGAGCGCAGGCACCGCCAAACCAATCCCCTATCGGTTCGGGAAAAGGCACGCGAAATCGAAGCGCGCACTCCAACCCCGGATCCGATTCAGAAGCGGCAACGTGGTCCCGCCACCCCGCCACAGGCAACGCCTGGATTAGGCGCTCCGCCCTGCGAGCAGGTCTTGGAGAGACCCGCCCCTCTCACTCAAATGACCTGACCGCACCGGCGACCGGCTCGCCCTCGGCTCGCTCGCCTCCGGGAAAGCGGCTGCGCACCGAGGACCTAGCTCCCCCTTCCAGCGCCGACATGACGCCCGAAGCCGGTGACGACCCAGAGTATGGCCACAACACCTCTGAAACCCCGCTCCGCCGAGGGAAAAAGAGGGTAAATAAGACGAAGAAGAGCCTCGCCGCTCAGGAAGCTGCTGCCCGCAACGCTTCAACCGCCGCCGCGGCAGAGGCGGCAGGAGAAGTAAGGCTCCCAGGACTCCGAAGCACGTCGGTCTCCCACAAATTGATCGTCCTCTCGGCGAGCAATCGGCCGCCTGGCAGTCCGACTCCGTGCGCCAGTGCGGCCAGCCCCGCTCTGTGAATGGCGAGGCGGGCGCCTCCGCGCAGGCCCCGACCACGGAACCTGCCGCACGACCGCCGAGACGACTCTACCGCTTCAGTCTGCAAATACACGCAGATGCAGTCAAAAAGCACGCCAAAGCGATAGGAGACGCCACTGGTAAGTTGGCCACAATCGGTCGTGTTACTACTAGTGTCGTGTCGTCGTGTTAATTTACTTAAGAAAAGTGCAGACACCGGTATCGACGTTAGGGTCGTTAAGTGGATTCATGAATTCTTGAGAGAACAGTCGCAGCGAGTCCGAGTTGGACAAGTACTATCTAGGGAGACAAAAATTACATCTGGAGTTCCTCAGGGAAGTGTCTTAGGACCCTTGTTATTTATAGCCTTTACGAACGATCTATCCACTTTTATTGATTCAGTAATGCGCCTTTTTTTCTGACGATTGCTTCATTTACCGAATAATAGAATCATTTAATGATGAACGTGCACTACAACAGGAACTAAATAAAATATACACATGGGCTAAATCAAACAAAATGGAAATAAATGCCACAAAATAGAGTAACAGTTTCACAAAATCTATACGTAAGAATCCCTTTAATTATTTTATGAACTATGAAAAATTCTAGAAATTCTAGTATCCCCGAGGTAATCACTGTAAATACTAGGAATAAATTTGCGTAGCGACTTAGAATGGGAACATATAAAATTATGTGTAGAAAAGCTTAGAAGTCTTTCATGTGTCAGAGATTTAAAAGAAAGTAAAACATTTGAAAGCTAGAAAATTGCTACACATCTTTATTAGTTCAATTCTGAATACTCTCAGTTTGGAGATTTCTACAGATAGGTCAAATAAAATAATTAATAAGATCAAAAAAGGAAGTGAAAGTTCATAAATAGAGGACGTTTCAAGGAACTTGAAACCAAACACATTCGATTCATTAAGTTACCCGCAGAAGATTGCATAAGAATTATGGTATGTTTAAAGCGGTATAATAAAAATCTCCAGCGTGGCAGATAGATATGAGACTAACAGACCTCACGTATAGGAGAAATATTCATAATATGGAAAATAAAACACTCAACGGCAGCAACTGATACCGTAAATATTCATTTGTGAATCCCCCACAATTAGATTGACGGGAAAATACCTGCAACAAGTCAGGGAGACCTTTCCCAAGATGTAAGTGTTTTAAAATCGCATAAGAAGTCTCAAATAGTTTTTTTTTCTTTTTTCTTTTCTTTTCT